AAATAGCCATGAACCAATTATATCCTGGTCACGGCACCAATTGTGATGGTCCCCCCCTTTCCCTATGTGTACCCCTTTATATATTAACTACCCTCTAAACTAAACCTACACATGGAAAACCTACAAAGCCTAAGAAAAGCCTACGAAGGCTTTACCTAATGAAATCTATGAAAATATAATGAAAATCTACCCTAAAGAAAGGCCTAACACCCTCAATATAGCCCATACCTATATTACCTTATACACCCTAAACATCTTATAAATCTAAAAAAAAAAAAAACCTTACAATAAACACATAATATTGAACAGATCTTTAGTAGAACACTTGATCATCTGGCCAGATAAATAAATGTGTGATCGTCTAGTAATGTAGGACCCGTTGTGTGTGTAATAACCAAAAGGTTCTTTAATTGGTATATGATAGGAGTTAAATAATGAAGATGATTGATAAATATTTAAGGATTAAGAATAATTAATGAATTATACTCATAATTCATGTAACTAGGAAGTTAGAATATAATATATTAATTTAATAGTAAATTACAGAATAACTGTAATAATAAAAAAAATGGGGGAGCGGTCGGGCCCCTCACACGCCCGGACCAGTGGAAGACTTTCCAACTATCTATAACTCTTCCTCCTAAAAAGGTAGGGAAGGGTATTACTATTTATTAATGCACTCTGATGGTAATAAGGGCATGAGTATTCTCAGTTCCAAACCAAACATAAGTACATTTACTTCAACATTACAGTGGCTCCACCAGCCCCACGATGCTTCCAGTATAAATTGGTGTTTGCCAGAGGCAAAAGGATCGGAACTGAAATCCCAGGATCACTCCGACACGAGAGCTTACTCATGGGCGATGACCCTTTCAGTCCTATATGGCGACATAGAGATCACCCACTAACAGTACGAAACTGTTTCCCAGCGTCACCCTGTTACGAGCTTACTCAATGGGGGTTTCCCTTCGGCTCCACAAGAGATCAGACCAAGAAGCGAGATCACCCAGACACCAGAACTTACTTTGTTGGGACATAACCCTTCGGCCCTATAATGTGACATTAGAGATCACCTGTGAAGACAGTCCGATAGAGATGAAGATTTGTGTGATAGTGGATACCTTCCACATCCTGGAATTGGCCAAGCCATATAATGTTGATAATTGCTATATCATAACATAGCATTGTCAATTTAATATTATTTACTTAATAACAAGAATACTCAAGGTTCAAGTTAAATCTGTTGATTAGGCCAGAGCCTAAGAACGAGTAGTCCAACCCATGGGTCAAGAGCTACTAAAAGTAATGAGTGCTATTGAATGAACTATAAGTCCAGTCAATTATATATAATATTATTGTTGATTAACCACATTGTGAATTAACCAATTATTTATTCAGAGAGATATATCTAAAGGAACTATAAGTCCTTTAAAAGACACTGATTAATCACAAGTTAACAACGTCTCGTGAAATAACCAGTTGGGTTTTCTATAAGTTTGAGGACACTAAGTCCAACAAGCTATTATTGTGTTGAGAGTAATAGAGATCTTTTGTAATATTTATAGAGGTTTGATTAATCACAGTGTGAAATAATCAGATTAAATATTTATGTAACTTTATAGAGAGGACTATAAGTCCTAATTGGTTGTTGTCATAAGTACTGATAAATTACACATTAAAGTGCCAGGTCAATTATTATATATAGGTATATAGGAAGGACAATAAGTCCTATTTGTGTATGTTGTAGTAGTAGAGGCAATATATTGCATAATTATAATGTGAAAGATATATATTAAATATATATTTGTATAGAAAGGACAGTAAGTCCCATACAATTATTGTAGCTGTACTATAGTTATACTATATCTACTTCCTTTTAGTGTCTTAGTAAACCTATTTAATAAGAGGATTTCTCAGATAAACAAGTGTTTTAGTGTTTAAATCATCGTGATTAAATCCCTAAGAAATTAGGTCTTTAAATAATTATCATATCATTTAAGTGAAATTTCTCATATAAATAATTCCAATATTTCCCCACAGTTATTATAAAATAACAGAAAATTATATAAATTTTCTATAGACTTAGATATAGAATCATAACGTGTATAATCTCCTTTTGTTTGACATCTGTCACATTAATGACGTATTAAATGACGTATTGATGTATTGAATTGAATTTTGATTATCTATCACAACTGTCAACGTAACAAATACTAGCAAATTTGTTTATTTGTATTTGTTTAATATAATTAAATATAAAATCATCATATATCAACCGTAATATATAACTAAAATATCAGTGATATAAATAATCATGGTTTACACCAGTAATAATTAATAGTATTCAGCAATACTGCAGTTTTATATTCACATCAGTAGCCAAGCCAACTCTCAATTTCAAGAATGAACAGAAGATTAGAAGTTTAACATTCTTATTGCAATTGTACTTGCAATAACATATACACACAGTACCAATTATCAAGAACATTCCTCAAATACATGTGTGGTGAAGATTTTCCCAATATGCTATCTATTTGATTTCTAACCTCTAATGTAAATTTATTAAAGAAGTGAATAATCAGTGTTAGTGTTTGCTTTATTAATATTTAAAGTAATTGTCCTAACTTGATATTAATAGGATAATATCTCCTTGGATACAGTCCGACATAAACATATAACTCAATAATTAAATTTATAAAATACTAATATTATATTTTACTACTTGTATATCTCCATACTATTCCCATAAAATAGTCAAAACATGTATATTAAATATAAATCCAGTAAATATTCACTAATATTAACCCTGTCTGAACTTGTCTAGTCAATATAACATGAACAAACAACACACATACAAACCTTATTGCCAGGACAACTTCCTTTCTAAATATGAGTAAAATACATAACTCATACTTGTCATTTAGTACTAATTTTATACTGTATCTCATACCTAGATAATAATAACTATAGTCAGAGAATCCTTTAGTACATTTATTACCATTAGGAAATAAATCCACACCCATAATATCAGCATAATTAAATATTATTAGAAACCAGTAATACATACAGAATTGTTATTATCAGCTTGCTTACTACAACAAAATCAATATTAAAGTTTATAATAAATCAAGACAAAATATCTATTTAAACAATACAGGCTTGTTTACCATAAACACCCCACAGTCACATGAATTTATCTAGTAACACAATTAATAATGTATTAAAAGTATTACATTCACATAATATCACTTACAACAGTTAAGCTGTCTCTTTGTACATCTGGTGTAAAACAAATCCCCACATGTAGTCATGGATAATCAAATATAGACTAAGAATCATTAATCTGGTCGACCGAGTAATGGTATAAAAACACTTCACCATGAAGCGTTAAGTATGAACAGATATTCCAAACCAACACTGTAATAGTGTAATAAATACAAATATTTCATCATCATCATCGTCTCAACCATCACCAACCCACGACTGAACACAGGCAATTTCCACCGACTGACACAAGGAACGGCCCCACAATACACATAAAACAGTCACTCCAAACAATGGAGGTAGCCCACACCGCACTTGCATTTACAGGGTCGCCACTCAATAACCCCTCTCTCTCATCAATGGCTGTTTCCCCAGCAATGAGACCAGACCATAGTCACTTTAGTCTATTATCCTCAATAAATAAATACTTTATAATAACTAGATATGAAACTAGTTAGTATTGTAATAGTTCAATAGTTGATTCAATAAGTATTTTCCAAAACTGGACAATTAGAACATTGAATCAAATTGATGAAGTTCTATCAAACGACCATATAATTGGATTTTGTATATGAGTAGAATAACGTAAGTACGTAAATTATATTGATGTAAATTTTGTTCAAATGTGATTGCATTTAACGATATACGCATTACCTAAAGGTATATGGACTCGACTAAATACGTATTTTAATAGTTGTTGGGAAAAATATTAAGTATAGACTTTGCCTGTGATCACAGTCAAAAATCTAACTACGTAGTAATAAATGGAACAAGCTCACCGCATTCTCCAGTCTTCTATTGATTAATTTCACACACTTAATCGATAGTGATACACTAAGATCTCAAACCCCTTCATCGATCCAGTCCCTCCTAGATCTATATCCCAGTTATTTTTTTTATTTTATTGCGCAATCCCTAAAACACGACTCCCGCGCCATTTTCCGTCCTTTTTTCTTTTTTACTGCGCAATTCCTCCAAAAGCGACTCCCGCGCGCCCGCCGATCTGCCGGCTCTCCTCCTTTTTTTTTTTTTTTTTTTTTCTCACCTAGTAACGTCATAGATTATCTCACCGAAGGGTAGATATTTCAATAATCAGATTTAGCCCATTATTCGAACTGAACTTTTCTTCAAATTCAATTTAATTATATGTTAACGTATTTTGGTATTTTCTATTAAATTGATTATCGAATTTATAAAACTTTAAAGACTCTCATAAACCTTATTAAACTGTGTTGTATGCATCCTTTTTACACCTGATGATAAAAGGTAAACTATAATTTGGTTATATATAAGATATAATATATTTTTGTTTAATTTATTTAATTTTCTTGTGACATCCACTACTCTTTGAAAACACATCAAAGGAGTTTCCCTTCTGTGTCAATATTTCATATATGGTAACGTCTTCTCTATACGCTATTGTGAACCTTGACTTTAAAGTTTGTTTATATTAAATAGCTCAGCTTTCGCAGCGGTCACCCATAGGAACCCCTGTTGCTTTTCTATGTACTTATGGTATTAAACCTATTGTACTATAGGCGAACCGTCACAATATTATATATAAGGATTTGCTTTTACTTGCTCTATATCTGTACGACATTTAATTCATTATTGTAAATAAACGATCTTTTTTTACAAATGAGTTTTTTTTTTACTATTCAAATTAAGAATTTAAAAATAGGTTCAAAACGTATTTGAATCTAATCAATATTTAAAATAATACGTAAGTTACTTACTTAATTATATAACAGGCGATTTAGGGTCCTTCGGCTCACTAAGCTGTGACTCTTCGTCTATTAATTGCAGATTAATATTCTCACTTTTAGTGTGAAACGTGGCTGAGATTGTTTTCTCCTCAAGTAATATACTCTCGACTTCCACACCATTGTCTTTTCTGCCGTTTCCCTCTAACATTCTCTGTTTTATGGAAGGTGGCCTATTAAATGAGGAAGCTAATAGCGTTTCCTGAATTGTCTCGTTACCATTGCATATTTTGTCAGCTTTATGCGTTGGCATTCTCCCGGAATGGTAACTATTTCTGACGCCTCCTGTTGATTCGAAAAAGGGTAGAACTTGTTTAAATTCTTTCCTAAAGTTTTCATTCAGCCATGCATAAAGAAATGGGTTGTAGCATGTTGATGCCATTGCCATTGAATGGGCGAGGAAAAATGACACATAGTAGTAATTCCACTCAGTCATTTGTGCATAGAAATCGTTGAATATGTTTATCAAATTAAGGGGTAACCACGAAATCCCAAATATGGCTACCATAGATATGAGCATTCTATTTGTTCTTTTCTTTCTGTCTCTATCAGCTTCCTCTCTTCTGGTATTTTTAGCACCTGGTTTTGACCTAGCGCGGTCATTCAGTCTTATACTAACACAAGTGTAACATACAGCTATAACTAAAAATGGTATTAAAAATTGCAGTACAGTGGTAAAAACTCCGAAAATCCTCCTCGACCTATCTGAAGGCCAGCTTTCCTCGCAATAAGTTTTGTTTCTTGTAATTAGCAGGCCCATGAAGAGACCGTATGGACATGTCACTACCAAAGAAAATACCCAAATGAAAACTATAATAAAGATGCAAGTATTTAGCTTCATTCTTGGGTGGAAAGGATAAATAATTACAAAGAACCGGTCTATCGCTATAGAAGTGAGAGTCAAAGTAGATATGTAGACACTGGTCCCTTGAGCGTACGGCATGAGATGGCAAAGAAGCCTTCCAAACACCCATCGTCCTATAAAAGTGTACATAGGTGTAAGTGGTACTGCAAAGAGACATAGTAATATATCTGATAATGCCAAGTTTGTTATGAAAAGATTTGTCACTGTCTGCATTGCTCGGTTTCTAAAAACGACGTAGCAAACTAAAACATTTCCGAAAACTCCCAAAACGAAAATCAACGTATAAAGAATGCAAAAAGCTACTTGTACAATATCGACGTCTATGATATCTGTTGTTTTATTCTTGGGTTCATCAATAACATCCATGCTTTCTCCAGCGAGTGTTTTCGTAAGGATCTGGATGACTCCCCTGCCCATATGTGATCCGTTGTACCCCATCGTAGACGGTTCAAATTTGTCAGCCATTGCGGACGGCACGTCATTATGCCCGCTGGCGTTGTGTGTTGATGTCATGTTAACTTCGCCACAATATCTTCTCGATGCTTGTGGTTGATTGCCAGTCCATCTGAGAACAAGAAATTGTCAAATTAGATGATAAAATACTTTTAACTTTTTTGTTGTTCTTTTACAAGATAATATATTTTCATGCCGTTTTACTGGCTACCTCTAGAGGCGGTAAGATAACAAAGTATAATTCAGTTAATCAGCCTACGCATAAAATTCCAAGAGTGCTACGTAGATATCGTAAATAGAAAGTGGATTAAATACTTTGCACCTTGTCGTCTGTATTATAACGATTTTTTTCCTGTAACAAAATAAGATTAAGTTCATCTGAATTTACGGTTCATACACACGCGCTGTCTCCATGACAACCCATACGATTGCTATTAAAGCCAAGAACACATTAAGAGGAATGGCCTACAGATTATATTGCAGAAGACACATGTCGGAGCTACAAAAAGTAAATTTGTTCTACCTATAGCAAAAGAAAGCATTATAAATGAAGCGAATAGAGTTAAATGGAACTTGAATGTTGGCGAAACCTTTTCACAGATTTGTTGTTAATGTCATTTGTTTGTGCTCGCAAAGAATTTACGGCGAGAATAAAACCACTTTCAAAAGGTGTCTCTAATGTTGAACGACATTTACGTGCGGTTTAAATTTTCAGTTTATTTAGATACAGCAAAAAGTTGACGTTACAATTATTAACAGTGTTTAAATTCAAAATAATTAAGAACAATGTTAGTTTGTTTTTTCTTTAATGTTTTATATTTATAGTTATTTGCATAAAATGGTATAAATATGTTAAGACCGCCTTTAACTGCAACATACCAAGCAATAATATGTAGAAAAGTTATTTTTTTAATCATAAACAGTATAGAGAAAAAAGTTCAAAAGACTTTAACTTTTAAAAATGACATCAGATGTCTTAGAATCATTCCCCGTTTCCGATTCTTTGGTTTTAATAAAGATGAATACCTAGTTTTTTTACATATTATAAATATATATAGCCGTGTGGCTCGACATAGAATAGGCCATCCCCTCCTTTACCTTGAGTGTCGTAAGAATCGACAAAGACTGGGCGACGGACGGGCAGCAGTGTCCCTCTTAAAACATTTTGAAAGCCTAACTGCGGTTGCCAACCCGCCTGCCAAGCATGGCAACTATTGGCAAAACTATTGAGCAGTGGGGTATATAATATAAATACATTCAATTTCGAAGACAATCACGGCTAAACCGCGATCCTTTTGTAATTTACACCGTCTATCGCAGTGGATACTAAAATTGTACTCACGAACAAAAACATTTGAAGTCGTTAAAACGGAGTTAATGTCCTCGCAAATTACAAAGTACCTCACAATCTTATGGCAAATTCAATTAAGAGATTACATTTAATTTGGACCAATCGGAAAATTTCATTTTGTAGTATTTATTGTTCTTATTACAACCAGTAAACGGTTTGGGTAAACTTGATTTACGAAATTGAGATACTAATATTGTGTTCCTAGAATTTAGTTGAAAGAGAAATTCAACGTTTACGTACATACAATTGTAGATATACAAATTAAGTTGGCAACGAATTACGTATCCCGACTTATTCTATTTTTGTAATCATATTAAGGTTCTTGATTAGGACGTACCTACTATATCTATACTGTACTGTACCTATTTAAGTTTTTTTTTTTTAAATCATAGCTATTATAGTTTTTTAATTTAGTAATACTCTACTTGTATATGAAAATAGACAATTCTTTAACTTGCACATCCGCCTGGGACTTACGGCTGATTAGATAGAGGTTGTATATAAGTTTGAGGTTTTAATCAAACCTTTACTGATATAAATATGAAAATAAATTTGTTTTTTTTTTGTTACCTTAACAGTTTAACTAATCACTATAAAATTTGATATAGACGTACTATATGGAATGGAGAAAGATATAGGCTATTTTACTCTCTACCTTTTATTCCGATCAGTAAATATATTGTGATCATGCGGACGAAGAAGCGGGTAAAAGTTGTACAATTAAACTTCTAAATGTACACAGGATGGAGAGAAGCATGTTTTTTTTTTATGGGTGATAATGGAATGGTATCCACATCCACGCTATCGGTATTCACCGGCGGGGCACCAGTGAAGGATGATAGATGAGGATGAAGCAGGTCAGTTAGCCCATCGTGATGAATTCAACAAGAATTGTTCACGATGGTTTCCAGGGGAAACCACGTGGAGGTCGATCTAATAGCGCATATTGCTAGCAATGGGGCTGTCAAACTCCATTGCTAACAATCCCTTTACCCCGAGAAAAGCATGTTTAATGTTGTAACACTACATGATAAATGTAAACTATTAAAGACATTCAGCAAAATCAATGGCTTAAAAACCATCATTAGAAAGAAAAAAGGATTTTTAATTATTACATTAATTCTATGTCCATTAAAAACCAATCATTATGTATTGGTATGTTTATGATATATATTATATTTAATGTTTAATAAATTATAATTATTAATAAATTGTATATATTGTACAACAACAGTAATCTTTCAACTTATCCAAACTCCTAAACACCATTGTTTACATAAATCGTTTCAAGTATTTAGCTCAATGATTTTTTACAGTGTTCATCGGTACTAATGTTAATTTAAATAATAAACATACGGGATAGTCTTTTCATTACTTCTTTCAAGAGAAGACTGAAATCACATCTTTTAATCAATTGTACATGATAATTCTATGCACTTATACATATATATATATATATATTTATCTATTTACTTATTTACGTATTTATTTATATATTTATTCACAATAGTGTTTGTTGTATATACATTATTTTCACCGGTACCTTTCCTGCACTGGATTACCCAAATTAAATTATTTTCTCTCTAACTACACTGGGTTGGCTGGAAGAGATCTCTTTCAGAGATAAGTCCTCCCTTGCTAACAAGTTGTTCAACTAATCGTCGCATATATTGTTCAAGTGCAATAAAGAATATATATATTAACAGTGGTATGATATTTAAAAAATCCGAATTTGCTCATCGATATTTGCTGCTAACTCTACTTCTGCAATTTCGTAACCTCTAAATGCTGTTAAATGACGATTGCTAATAAATTTCTTATAACGACCGTTCGGTCATTCCCGAATCTATTATGCCTTATCTTTTTAATGTCTAGAATAATTTATTGATTATAATTTCTACCACTTAAATATATTGCCCCTTAGTGATAATATTATTGCTTGCCGTTTGTTCTCTAGAACTAGATGTAAGAGATACAAGATAAAATATTTACAAATAAAGATGGTATTACTTAGATAAAAAATAGTATAAAAATTATTACGTGAATGTTCAGGTATAGTCAGAAGATTGTATTATATTAATCATGAATTCGTCCACAAGATCTAGATATGTTGATTGATAGAAAAGTAACCTGTGTCCTTCTCCATTTTATGCAGTATTTTTTTATGGCTGAAAATGGTATGGTAACACCGTCTGCGCTAACGGGATACGCTGGTGGAGCACAGATGAAGGGTGATAGATCAGAATGAAAACAGGCCTGTCAGCCCATCATGATGAATTCAGGAATTAACCATGATAGTTTCCAGGGGGAACCGCGAGGAGGTCGACCTGGTTGGGTATATTGCTAGCAATGAGATTCTCAGTCCCCATTACTTACAATCCCTTTCCCTCCTCTCATGCAGTATTTCATGACGATTGGTCGAGCCATTAAGGAGCCAAGAAGTAATAAACAAATAAACTTCACATTTATAATATCACTAAAAATATTATAAATGTGGTTAAAATATCTTTAATGATATTATATTTGGTATATGGCTTAAAAAGTGCGGTGGCCTAAGTCGAAGTCCGAGATACTCTGGCACCCTTGGGCGCACGCTGCAGTTCATGAGAAAGAGCTGACGCTTATCGTCACTTCCCACTCGCGGGCTTGGAGTCGTCTGCACACTCCCCTACACACGCATTCAGTGAAGCCGTAAAATCCATCTACGGCTTACAGCAAAAACGGTTAGAAAAGAAGGAAGGGGCGTCCTATTCTATGCCGAGATTACATAGCCAATTATTTTTATACTATATTATCATATTAGTATATTTATTATTATTGTTACTGTATTATGCAGTATATAATATAAAAAAATAGATGATTATAATATTTTTAAAATAGGTATTTAAAATATATTTTATTATTGTGTATTATAAGGATAAAGTAGATACATAGATAGATAGATACTCTTTATTGTTTCCTCCATATGATTATAATAGCAAAGTTATTATAAATACAAACAATTACAAGAAAATATTACACTAAGAAAACAATGGGCGGCCTTATCGCTAAGAGCGATCTCTTCTAGGCAACCTTTTGATGGAGAAGAGTAATTTAAACAGATGGTATAATGCAATGCAGTTATTGGCAAAGATCAATCATGTGATACTATGTTCGCCTTTATTCCGTACAACCTTTAGTGCACTTCATTATTGATTACTTAAGAAGTTCTGGAAACTCTCTGAAAGCATAAAATAGATGATTAATAAATGAAAACGTCCGACTTTAAGTTACTTCGTAACAAGAAAATTATTCACAGGGGCATATTGTAGTCATAAATAAAATATTGTAAATTAATGATTGGAACTTCTATTATAGGCGCTAATTGTATCTCCTGGATTCGCCCGTGGTCGCATAGTGTTGTTTTGTTTTTTGTGTATCCTCAAGAAATAAATAGTATAAATGGATTTTTCTTTTTAAATATATCAAGTAGTTTTAGAGATTAGCGTGTACAAACATATAAACTCTTCTACTTTATATATATTAGTATAGATTAGTATAACTAAAAATTAGTTTATATAGATAAGTAAGGAATTATTGTATTATTTATACTTTAAGTCTTATGCTTAGTGTTGCTCATCGATTAACAATTAATCGATAGTGTTCACTAAGAAAAAAAATCGATTGGTCTATTCGTAGTATTAATTAAACTGATGGTATTAACTTATTCAAAACTACACAACAAAATTTGATACGAATTTTATTGTTTTTTAAATATTTTT